CAGGACCCACCTCCAATCCCAGTTTCATGTGTGCAACTAGTGTTGTCTCTGTTTCAACCTTCTCATTCAGATCCAAAAAAAAGATGCAGTCTTTTATTCTCCCAGCAAAATCGTGGTGAACCTTAATTAGTCAGTATTTATACAGCAGCATGTAAATATAAAATGCTTTTGACATCTCAATTATTATAATTACCATGTGAAATTTGTTTGAAGCTCAGATTTGGAAAAGAGCAAAGCTTTCAAACTGCATTTTCCTTGAAATGACTTGTGAGTTCAGAGCTTATCTCTTTTCTCCCTTGAAAATAGAAAATGTTAAGTTTCTGCCACCCTGCCCCGGAAAGGTCAAATCCAACTGTTTGGAGGAGTTCCTCCCCCCCTCCCAAAAAAATCTTGAGTTCTGTGGGTGTGTTTAGTCACAGTGGGTAAATCTGCAAGCGAAGCAGGACACACAGACTCTGAGATCGATTCTGCCTGTTCAGCAGATGGCTTGACACAATATGCTGCACTGCACGCCTGCTGAGTCCTAAAGGCAAATGTGCCATAAGTAACCTTGCCATAAGCCTGTTAATGCAAAGGCAATTTTCTATTTTAAACTCTGTAAAGCTCCCCCTTTGTTTGCCGCCTGTCTGTTTACAGAAGCTGCTGTACAAGAGCATAGCAGATTGTTTGCTCTAATAATACGACTAAGCCCTAAGGTCAAACTGCACTTCCATTTATCCCGCACAAAATAGTGATACTTGTTGCTTATCACATGACGAGTGTGCTGAGTTGTACTGAAAATGTCTGAAAGCAGCACATGAGTGCTCAGGCAGATGGGGGGGGGGAGAGACTACTGCCTGCCTTTTATTACAGGATGGGTTTGTGTGCCACTTAATGGCACAAGAGGCTTCTAAGTGGGTTAACAAAATAAAATAGTCATTTACACAAAGATTAAAACAGAAACATCCATAATTAAAACACTGTGAACAAGTCATGTCTCCAGGCATCAGTAGAAGCAACTAGTGATTCAGTCCTGAGCATCTTTGACATACAGTTCAGGTTGCTGGACTGCTTTAGATAGCTAAAGTCACTACAGTGGAGCCAGCTTGCCATCCAATTAAAATACTTCAAGAGAAGCAAATGTACCATAAAGGTACCTTGCAAGTACCATAAAGTAAAATGGCCATGAAACTAATCACGGCAGACAGAAGGATATTTTAACTGTCAAGATGATGTTTGAAGTGTCGCTTGCAAAATGACAAGTAGTGTTCCAGCTATATAGTGTCACTGTGGATTCCAAGCCTTGCATGCACATTTTTTAATAAAGATGAGCCAAATTTCTGTAAGTTTTCTGTTGCATCTCAAACTATGGGCAGGATCTTCTGCTAACAGGTTATGCGAGTTGTGATACACTTTGGAGGGTGTCCTCTAACTTTTGTCAAAATATTGGGTACTAGGCAGTCGAAAGAGATCTATATAATGCAAGCTGTGCACTCCCTGAGCTAGTCTAAAAGGACCAAGCTTGGTAGAGCTTCTCAACCATACTGAGAAAAGGTTAACATAAGAAGGTAAGACCATAATAAGAACAGCCTGCTGAATCAGGCCAATGACTCATCTCATCCAGCATTCTGTTTTCACAGTAGCCAATCAGACACACTTGTGAAGTCCGCAAGCAGGACATGAGCTAAGCAGCACTCTGCTCACCTATGATTCAGCAACTGGTATAGTGAAGGTAGAACACAGGCACTATGCCTAGTAATTCAAGTAGTTCTTTATACATTCTGTGTAAACCAGCATCTTGCAGGGCATCTAACTATGGGTACGGACAGGATTGCTAATAGTGTCTTGCAGAACCCTGCTCATCCTGTTCTGAAGGAACATCTGCCATTTATCAAGCTCTATGTTCCCCTTCCTTATTTTTTAAAAATGCAGCGCTTATTTTTGGCTAGCTTACTTGAAAAGTTGGAATATGTAGAAATTTAGCCAGTCTGAACAGAAATGAACTGAGGGCTTTAGCAATGATGAGTTTGAAACCTGAGTATTAACTGGCTGCAGCTACCCAAGTCAGGGGGCTATCATGTCTTGAGTGTTTATAACATTTGCTCATGCTTATTCCTTTTTCCTCCCTCAAGTTTTGTGGGGATCTCTCTTAAATGTTTGATTGCAAAATTCAAGACCCTTCTCATCTTGGGCCATGTGAGTCTGACTGTGAGCTAGCATATGATATATTACTTGGTGATGTGCATATACTTATCAGGAGACCTTATCCAAACAGAAGTCTTAAGTGCAGTTCCATGTAAGATTCGATCAGCTTCTAAGAAAGTATGACAGGATATGTATGTGGCTGCTATTTTGGGTTTATCAGATTTGGAAACTCACTTGCCATGCAAAATGTTATGAAAAGTCTCTCCATGCCCCCTCTTCATAATTATTAAGAAAAGTAACCCAGTTATGTTTGGAAGGAGTGATGCTTTAGCTGTGAAGATTTCCAATATTATATTAGTAGCAGGTTATTAGATTTTATAATTATATTTATCCTGCCAGATTAAAGGGAAAGGAAACCTACTAATTTAAAATGGTTCTCCCAGGGCCATGGGATAACTCTCATTGCTTCAATGCCTTGGACAGAATGTGTGATTTTATATTTCTGTTTGTGCAAGAGAAAGGAAGGCCAGTAAACTGAACATAGTGCAGATTTAAACAGTTTAACACAAATTCAGTTTGTGTTTTATTTATTATAAATGGGTGTTCCAGAAGAAAAACAAGTCATAATGTACCTGTGGCATGCATATGCTAGCGGAAAGCAATGTGTTTCAAAATGCATCTGGAAGAATACCTGAAGTGATCGTAAACTGCTGCTTTCAGTTGTGCCGAGTTCATAAGAATTGAAATCTTCAGTTGTTTGTTTTTCTAAGTATTGGAATACTTAAACCCAGCCATTCTGGCCAACTATCAGGGATGAATGAAGCTGTAGTCCAGCAACATATGGAGGGATTAAATGCAATTTTCTGAGTCTTTTGTTTCTTTAAATTCCATCTGTTTGTAATTCAGATGTTGTTGTTCAACATATTTATAAATGACTTTGACGAAGGAATTGAGGGGATGCTCATCACATTTGCAGAAGACACCAAAGTGGGAGGGATAGCTAATGCCACTAAAGACCAGAATCGGGATTCAAGAAGACCTTAACAGATTGGAGAATTCTGCCCAAACTAACAAAATGAGTTTAAATAGGGACAAATGTAAGGTTCTACACTTAGGCAGGAAGAACTAGATGCACAAATATAAGATGGAGGACACCTGATTTACTAGTAGTACATGTGAAAAGGGTCTAGGGGTCTTAGTGGACCATAAGCTTAACATGAGTCAACAGTGTGATGCAGCAGCAAAAAAAGCTAATGCTATTCTAGGCTGCATCAACAGAAGTATAGTCTCCAGATCAGTACAGTGGTACCTCGGGTTAAGAACTTAATTCGTTCCCGAGGTCCATTCCTAACCTGAAACTGTTCTTAACCTGAAGCACCACTTTAGCTAATGGTGCCTCCCGCTGCCGCTGCGCCCCTGCTGCGCGATTTCTATTCTCATTCTGAAGCAAAGTCCTTAACCCGAGGTACTATTTCTGGGTTAGCGGAGTCTGTAACCTGAGGTACCACTGTAATAGTAATAGTACCACTCTGTTCTGCCTTGGCCAGACTACACCTGGAATACTATGTCCAATTCTGGGCACCATAACTTAAGAAGCATGTTGACAAGATGGAATGTGTGCAGAGGAGGGCAACTAAGGTGATAAAGGGTCTGGAAACCAAACCTTATGAAGAGCAGTTGAAGGAGCAGTGTATGTTTAGCCTAGAATATCCATCTTCAAGTATCTCAAGGGCTGTCACATGGAAGAGTGAACAAGCATGTTTTTTCCTGAGCTGAAGGGGAGGACCCGAACCAAGGGATTCAAGTTACAAGAAAGGAGTTTCCGACTAAACATCAGGAAGAACTTTCCGACAGTAAGAGCTGTCAGTAAGAGCTCTCCTTCCTTGGAGGCTTTTAAGCAGTGGTTGCATGGCCATCTGTCATAGGTGCTTTAGCTGTGATTCCTGCATTGGGGTTGGACTAAATGACCCTCAGGGTCCCTTCCAACTCTACAATTCTATTATTATTCTAAGACCCCTGGTGTGGTGAGCATGGTTTCAGTTCTGCTCATATACAGACACTTTCCGCAAAAGTATTCTACAGCTTAAGGAAGCTACAGGTATTACTCAGTTTCCTCTAGGAAACTGCCCAAGACTATGCTGTGCCTACAAGGGGGAATGGGGAAATTGGTCAGAGAAACAGATGCAATCTTGAGAATAAATGGCATCTGTAGTCAAGATGAAGTGAAAAATATTGTCAAGGACAGCAAGGGCTGGAGCACTGACACATTAAAAGCCTTTTCAACTGCTTTAATTAGCAAGGTAAAATTATGTACAGTCAAAGTGCTTCTGCAAACAACGTTTTTAAAATTGAATTAGCTCTGCCTCTCCTGGAACTGTCAGCTGTCACAAATTTATGGTGTCACAACTGAAAAACGCATTTCATGAAGAGAGCTTTAATTTCTGGGCTTTTTTATTGCTTCTCCGCACATACATCAAGCTAAAAAGCTATCAGCGTGCATTTTCCCTGCCTAAGTGGCACTGGCCTAACACCAGGTGTCAAAAAATAAGTAAATGTAAGGGTTAAAAAAAAAAATGCTTCCAAATTCGTTCTGCTTTTATGACTGGTTTGGTTGCCGGACTCCAGAATACAGTTTACCTTCTTGCTAGGAAATCAATCAGCTGTTTCTTTTCTTTTTCTTGTTTGAAACCATTTTAATTGAAATTTCTCCATATACCGCTTGCAGATACATTTTGGAATTACATCACTCCAATAAAAACAAACTAAAAAACCAAATATAGTATGTCAAAAGTCATTGCACGCAAATTCACAAAGTACATGACATATGCAATGTTAAAATTATTGTATATATATGTTTCTTTTCTCTCTCTTGACAGGCAGATGCCAAAGCTCACATATTCCAAGCTCAGATCACCCTTTTCTAATCCTGGTGGAGGTCTAACTCTAAACAATTGAATTCTTTAAGTGTAAGTGATCATGGCTGTATATTATATCCAGGAAACCATTGAGAATTTGGAACTAGGGGGGCAGGGATTGCATCAGTAAGCTCTTAATGCATAAGCACTGTAATTACATTCCTGAAACTCGAATGTGTGTGTGTGTGTGTGTGTGTGTGTGTGTGAGAGAGAGAGAGAGAGAGAGAATGATATACCATAATTAGGCAATAATGTATGCTGTGGTCATTTATTAGGTAAGGCTGCATTCCCTAAGTACCACACTATAGACATTAATTAAGTAGTTAGTGAAGCCCATAGGAAACAACGCATCACCTTATTACTATTCATGAACACTTCCGTGATGCCTCTGCTATCAATTTTTAGGTTCCCTTGGCATGCAAGATAGGTGCTCTGCAATTTGAACTACTGTTCCATTTAATTTCCATCTGAAGCGTGGCTAACTCAGGCTGCAATCCAAGTTCGCCTTATGCCAGGCTGTGGAGGGGTTTCGATTGTGTGGGCACATCCCTCCACTCGCTTTGCAGCCTCCTCTTGGCTGCTGTCAGAGCAACACTTGCATCCCTCTGCTGGGATGTAGACCCCCCCCTTCCACCCACCAAATGGGGCATACCTGCCAGCAGAGCCTGATGAAAGTTCCCAAATTAGGTTAGTCCAAGGGTGGGGCTGAGCTGACCAATGGTGTTCTGGATCCTGAGGTGCTCTCACAGCCATCACCAGGCCTGAGTGGGGCTCAATTATTTATTTCCTTATTTAAACTGCAGGTGTCCCAGCGATTGGTCCCAGTCTGCCTGCCTCCAACTTTCTGCAACCACCTTTGTGGGTGGGTGGGCTGCAAATGGGATGGTAGCTCTGCTGCTTCAGAGAGCCTCAGTGGGGGCAGCAAGCAGTTTGGATTTTTCTGTCTACAGCTTTGCAGGTCAATAGGTTTGAAGTCATGATGAGCTCAGGATGAAACATAAGGTCTAGTTTTCAGAGCACAGGACACCTTGTGTGGACCCATTGCCTTTCTTTTCTGTGTTGAAATATGGTCACAAAAGGTTTCTTTTTATTTGGCAAAAAGCCATAGACACCTTCATCAGAAAACTCTCTTTAAGCAATGTATGTAATAAAACACAGGTTACGATCTGCACAACCTTATATATATTCTGTCTGGGTAGGGTGGCTGAAATCTCTCCCAGAACATCTCAACTCTTTAGGGACCCTGCATTTCCTAGGGTCTTTCCTCAGAGTGGGGGGCTGTCGGTTTGGAGACCCAGGACTTGAGACACTTCTGTATGGGGGGGGAGCAAATGAGGGGGAGGCCAGTACACAGAGGCAGCGTTTGGAGAAAAAGCAGTGGCAATTCTGTTTCAGGTGGCAATAAATCTTGCACCATCCCTGGTGGGTCTGTCAGGCAATGCAACAGTCGAAGGATATTTGAGGGGCAAAGGTTGGGATTTTCAGCTGAGCTATAAGGAGATGGTGGTAAAATGGGTGGCATTTGAAGTGCTCTCTCAGGACTAATGGAATCTGATGAGGACATTTGTACTTCCAGTGCAGAAGTGTATGCCTGGCAGTCATGAGACTGGATTTCCAGTGTAGTCAAGAAAGCAGCTGGCCTGAAGGAGAAGCAGAGGGATATGGGGGGGAAGTCCTAAAAAGAGAGATCTTGGGGTGCAACAAGGACCAGAAGCTTTGCCAAACATCACCCAGAGAAGCAAGAGGAAAGGGTGGGGAATGGGGAAGAAATCAAACAATTCTCCAAAAGCAAAATGTCTCAGAGCATGAGAAGGGTCTGACTGACACTGTCAAAGGTGGAACAAAGTTCATCCGTGACAAATGGGCACAGGAAAGAGCTCTGAGCTTAGCTGCCAGAAATCTTCAAGAGATTCCAAATCCAGTGGAATGATAAGAATATGTACCAGGTTGCAGAGGTCAAAGGGATAATTTAGGAATTTGAAGCAACAAGAGGAAATTCCTTGTCTGGAACAGATTGTTGGATGATAAAATAACTAAAGAGGCTAAATAAGAAAAGGGCACCATTTGTTCTTATTTAAATGACTATTAATGATCAGCTTTATTTTTCCTGGAGACCCAATTACATATTCAAAAAGAAATAAAAAGCAGCTCTCTGATTGTGTGTTCCTTGAAAAAGATAAAAATGAAAGGATGGTAACCTACCAGCATGTTTGCATTTGAAAAGTATATATCTGTGTGCATATGTGTTCACATACCCATATTCAATGTAATTGGCTATGCATACGCGCCTCATTTACCTTGGTATCAAGCAAGGGGGTGTTGAAAAAGATGGAATTTATAGCATCTTTGTAGCTACAGTTCACACATGTTCACTGAACATTGTAAATTGGATTAGAAATAACGGCAACACCCTAATAAACAGAAAAGGTGTTAAAACTGAGCTTTGACAGCTTGAGCGCATCTGCATCTCTGATTATCTCATGCATGCTTTTTGCAATAATCTTTTGGACTGACTGATCCTGTTTTAGCACATCTCTTGTGCTTATCTGTGGCTTTATGGTGGAGTCCTTCCTTTGTATGGATTTTCCTGACACATATTAAAAAAACATTATCCTTTTGCAGTACAGTTTTTTCATATTTTGACAGGGCAGAAACAGTGGTGAGAGCAAGCTACTCTCAAGATCAGATAATCAGAATGACACTAGCTTTGAAAGATGTAAGTGTGGAATTCTTATGACTTCGCAGCTTCCACTGGAGTCAAGTATTATTGTTAAGTTGGTCCAAAATAATAAGAAGCCAAACAGCCAGCAAAATTCCATTCCTTAAGATGAGTTCACATTCTCATGTGGACCTTCTGACAAGCTCTAAACACTCCTTCTGGAAAAAAACATTCCCTTTCCCTTGTAGGGTATCAGGAATGGATTAAAATCAGATACCCAAGACTCACACAGCCGCCTTCTAGATCTCTCTGTAAGCTTGTTTGTTTGTTTGTTTGTTGTTTGTTTGCATGTGAAAAGTGCAAGCTAAATAGTGTTCAGTGTATTAAATACCTTTTCGTTATATTTAGGATTTTTATCATGGCTCTAAAACTTTGCTGTGGCAATTAATATGCAAGCAATCTCTCTCTATATTTTTATGTGTTTGGGGAGGGGGTGCTGGCCTTCTCCATTCCCTGGATCCAGGAAGTGTTAAAAGCTAATCAAGCTTTCTAATTCCAAGAAATAGCCTTGGTGAGGTGATGGGGGATTAAAGAACTCAGTGCCAGACGGAGCCCCTCTTCCTCAACAGATAAAGCCAGAGTAGAGAGCGGGGAATTGATGCGACTTAGAAGTACAGTCATACCTTGAAAGTTGAACAGAATCCATTCTGTAAGTCTGTTCGACTTCTAAAATGTTCAACTTCCAAAGCGCAGCTTCTGACTGGGTTCAGGAAGCTCCTGCAGCCAGTCGGAAGCTGTGGAAGCCCTGTCAGACGTTCGTCTTCCAAAATAATGTTCAGAAACCAGAACACTCACTTCTGGTTTTTGATCGTTCGGGAGCCGGAACATTTGACTCCCAAGGCATTCAGGAGCCAAGGTATGACTGTAAAACATTTGAATGCAATCTTCGATTTCTGTTTGAATCCAAGGCTGTGGCTCTGAGAGAAACAAGACCCTTTTGAGGTACTAATGCTGTGAGGCCCTCCATTGTAGGCTCAGGATGTATATATGTGTAAATAAGCCATATATCATGAAGATACCACAGTCTCTGCTATGCCTCGTTTCAAAAGGAATCCTGGGTAAGTGCCTGGAACCCCTGGAATCTTGCACTGCTCTTAGACTGGGGTGGCATGCAACAATATGCATTTGTGAGCAGACTGGATAGCATTCAAAGTTGTCAATCCATTCCTGTAGGGTAGTTACTGGTAGTGAAATGAAATTTTAGAGAAGTAAGCATCGGTGTTAAAAACTGCAGATCCAGAATCTGCAAATTAACCATCTTATCATAATCCGTCCACTTATATGACAAATGCGGGGGGTGGGGAAGCATCAGATATGGACAATAATCCACTAAAATGTAGACAATATTGGTTTTATAAGACAATACCAAACACCCCGTCCTGTGTAGAAGTGCTGGACTGGGACTCCACTGTAAGTCAACTAGGTTAAGCTAGGTAAGTTCTGGCATTTTCTCGCGTTAACAGCATTACGTGTGCACAAGTTGCATTCGAGACACAAATATGTGCTTGTTAATATCACATGCAGAACTCTGTGCAAAAGACCACAATTAAATTGTACTGAAATATCTGTGAAATGTTAATCAGAGGTGCAAAAAGTGGCTTGTGTTACAATGCATTGGGAGTCTACAAAAACGTGAGTGCTTTGGAGCACTCAAAGGGAACACTGGTTTAATGCTGCCACCTTGTGCCCAAGAGTTGAACAAGCACATCTACAGGCAATCACTGCTCCAACGTCACAACAGAATTGTTCTTTAAGCTCACGCTTCTAGTTTTAAAATTTAACAAGCTTGTGAACTATTAAAAACTTTTGTTACCTATGAGAGTAGAAAATTCTGTATGCTTGAGATCAGAATAATTGCTTACTCTAAATCAAACATCCCTGTCTCTTCATGAATTTCAGATCAGTTAATTTCAAATAGGCAGAGCTTGGTGCAAATTAATATTTATTCCACAATACTTTTTTTTTAATAGCAAAGATGGAGAATTTTCAGTTCCCTTGGTTATTCAGAACTTCTGAGCCATCTTTGCCCACCCCCACCTCCCATGGACATCTGCAAGGCGAGAGCCTGCTTCCGCAGGAGCAGAACTGCTCATTGAGGTGTAGGGTCATAAGGTTACTCTCTGCCATATGAAGAAGGTAAAGGTAAAGGGACCCCTGACCATTAGGTCCAGTCATGGCTGACTCTGGGGTTGCGGCACTCATCTCGCTTTATTGGCCGAGGGAGCCGGCGTACAGCTTCTGGGTCATGTGGCCAGTATGACTAAGCCGCTTCTGGCGAACCAGAACAGCGCACGGTAGCGCCGTTTACCTTCCCGCCAGAGCGGTACCTATTTATCTACTTGCACTTCATGCTTTCGAACTGCTAGGTTGGCAGGAGATGAAGAATGTAAGAGCCCATCCAGTTCAGCAACGTGTTCTTAGAGTAGCCAACCAAATGCCTCTATAAGAGGCCTGATAGCAGGAAATGAGCACTATAGCACTTTCCCCACTTGTGATTCCCAGCACCTGGAATTCAGCGACATGCTGTTTCCGACAGTGAAGGTACAATGTAGCCATTGTGGCTGGTAGCTTTTATCCTCCATTAATTTGTCTCTTTGGAAGTTATCCATGTTATTGCTTAGTGCACGAGTGATGGGGCTCAGGTAACCACAAGACCTTGGGATGCAGGCAGCAGCACATTCCTTCTGCTACTTTAGAATCCCTTCATGCATGTGGCAAATGAAGGCAAATCCAGGCCTTTTGGACAAACGAATCCCTTTTGTAGTATTGTAAACTTGTGTAGTAGTCTGTTACTTTTGTCTTATTCCTAAAAGCCTTGAGTGAGATCATATTGTGCCGGCACTCTTGAACTTTAACTGACCTGAAACAGGTATTGTATTTTTAAAGAACAGAACAGAACATTTGTTTCACTACTGTTGTATGAAAATGCTGCCAAGCTTTTCAGGATCACCACAGATGCCCCTGGCTAATATGCAGCTATTTCAAATGGGTATATCTCATTTTTCCATGGTGTGGTTCAGCACCCAACCTGAATAGCTGCTTTAAAAGCTCCTTTGCTGGATAAATACAGTACTACAGCACAATTTGGCTTTTTAAAATGAGTATTTCTGAGTTTGACTATCAAACTGGGACATCTGAATCTTTAGAAATTGGCTGTTGCATAGACAATTAATGCAAATTAGTAGACAAATAGGTGTGTCAATTCATCTCCATCGATGTTATACTTACAACTTTTCCCTTTCTTGCTTTTATCCAGAGTTGTTAAAATATATTTATTTCCAGTTCTAGGGTTGTAGCCAACTGAATGCACTGAAATTAATGGGTCTAAGTTGGTCATACCCGTTAATTTCAATGGGCCTCCTATAAGTAGAACTACTGTTTGATTCAAGCCCCATAATCCTATTGGTTTCCCTCTTTTTGATTAAAGTCAGACTATGGGGGGGTGGATCCAGACTGTGGTTGCAGTCCTCTATAACATACCTAAAAATAAGTCCCACTGAAATTACGGGGGCTTACTTTTGAGTAGATATGCATAGGATTGCACTGTTAAGTTAGCTGCACTAAGGTCCCACTGAAATCCACATGAAAAACTTGGTTGGCAGGCTTGGTTCCCACTGGGGCTTAAGTTCAACAAATTTAGTCCAGATTCATTGCTATGAAATACCACCATTTCCCTCTCTAAACTTGTTCACATGCAGACATTCTCCCTTGCTAGGGGTAGTATAGTAGGCGAAAAGATGTAGCTACTAATCAGGAAGTGACTAGTTTTGCTTATTGACTCTGCCATGAACTCATCAGGTGCTATGTTGTGATACAGCGTCATTCCAGGCACATTGGTGAGGAGAAATAGTGGTCAAGATAGCTGTCAGTCCAATCCAACCGCAACGCACTTGTGCAACCTCAAAAAAACTCTCCCATTTTTCCATTAGATTCATAATTGTTATGTACTGAAGTTCTCACCCTGGGCCAGCAGGGGGATACTGTAGATAGTTCTGCAAATGAAGGATCGAAAAGTAACGTTCAGTGATTGGATAGTTTGTATGCAAATGAAGGATCGAAAAGTGACGTTCAGTGATTGGATAGTTTTAGAAAATGGCAACAGTTACATTGTTCTGGAGCTCTATATAAGCATGCTGACTGAGCTCCTCAGTTCAGTTCTGTTCCAGCTTACAAATAAAGAGCTGCTTTGGAAGAATCGCTGTGTCGTCTGATATGTTCGCCCACAACTTAACAATAATGGTGCCTCCGATTACCTCATGATGGTTAACGTAGCTGAAATGTTAGTAGTTCTGAAAATATAAAAAAGCAGGATTAAAATTGTAACTTCCGTCACGCCATAGATTTAAAACACATGATTTCCCCCCTAGGAAATGTAACTTGATAAGGATGCTGGGAACTGTAGCTCTGTGAGGGATAAACAACAGTTTACATGATTCTTTGGGGAAAGTAATGTGCTATAAATGTGCAGTTTGAACACACCCAGCCTTTAAACTGCACTTCTTTGTAATGTCTCTCCCACCCTTTTTTGCTCCACAGAAAGAAGAACTCTTATCTGCACAAATGCCAACGTCTTGTGAGGACTAGCTGCCCTCCATCCAAAAGCACACACCCCTTCTGTATCATGGGGCCTGGTGGTAGCTTCTTAAGTACAGGGCTGCTTCACATCATCATATGGGGAAGCCTGGCAGCCGTGGCAATGCTCCTGGTCTTCAGTTTTCTGCTCTTCCTATGCTCTAGCTGTGATAGGTAAGGTCTTGCTCAGGATACAATGTCAGGGTGCAGTAAAGGCATGAACAGGAACTGTGTTGTTGGACCCCTTAGACAGTGACAGTGTGTGTGCGTGTGTGCGTGTGCGTGTGTGTGTAAAATCAATAGCGTGTGACCTCCACAAAATCAGGACCAGCAGAACATAGCTAACTTTCCATGGTAAGTATAAGATTGTCAGGGGTGGCTGTCTAATTTTGTGTTATGCCATCCTCCTTCTGCCCTCAATAGCAGCTGTTTTGTGAATGGCTGTTTCAGCACACACTCAGAATTCAAAATGTGCCCCCCCCCAAAGGATGGAAACCCTCAGCTTGGGCATCAGGCAGCAACCACACCAAATAAAGATTGTGGTTATAATTTCATAAGACACAAGTGTTTGTGTTTAATATTGGATGCTGGGGATCTAAAATGAGTGTCTTAAAACCAAGGAATGATTATGTTTTCGTGAACAAATCCAAGAGACAAAGTTCAGTTTTGCTGTACGTTTGAATTTGAACCAGAATTAATATCAATCAATTTTGCCTGTTAATGAGACCAGCATATAGTTCATCATGCATATTAATTATGGCTGCCCACTTTGCATTGCTGATTATTCAAACAACAGAGGCTATGTTCGACTAGAAATATCCATTAAAATAAATAGCTTTGCCCTTTCCCTTGTTGTTTACATAAAATAGCAAGAGGGGGGAAAGACTCTGAAGCTGCTGTTGAATTGGAACTGACTGAAATAACCCCGAAGAATGCTTACCAAAGTTTGTGACTGATAACTCCTGCCCTCATTTGCATGCTCTATCCCTGAAGTCTCTAAGACACTTCCAAGAGGATGAAAACTAAAGACATTTTTGTAAGAATCGGTCTGCTGGGTATTTCTAACAAGCTATGCAAATTCTAATGCCAGACATTATCTGGCAATCATACTTTAATAATTTAGCATGTTGTTAGGCTGGATTTGGTGTCAGGATATTTGTGGAGCAGGTACTCGCTGAGAAGTGCAATTAAACTAAATCCCTTCCTTCCTAGAAAAGTTACACTGATGCTATTGATATAATAATGGGTGACATTAAAAGCAGATGCTTTGTCAGAAAAGCTTCGGGGAGCAAATTAGTTACTGCGTACATGAATCATATTGTGCATTGCATGGGCAGCATCGTGGATTTTAAATGGCATAATTAGTCTGCTTTCAGCGAAATAAATTTTTAGAAGTGCAGCTACAGTTGAGGTGGGATTTGCCGCTGAGTTCAGAAGGGTGGTGAAATGTAAATATCTTGCTTATGAAACTCTCATGGAAGGGAACTTTGTGCCCTGTATGTTTGCAGCAACTTCCTTTGGTATTTATATACATGTCCAGTTGGTTTCAGGAAGGTGTTAGTTGGATTGGGACCAGCAAGTAGTCATCACCAGCACTATTGTTTGAACTGCTATTTTATTTTAACAATGCACCTAAATCTTTGTTTATATTAAAGGGAGAAGAGACCCAAACACCAGAATGGGGACCATGAGAATCTGATGAATGTGGTAAAAATGAATCCGTCACTTATTATTGAAAGTGCTTTTTCTGTAGTTCATAACATATAAGAGGAAGACTAACATAGGATACTATTAGCTAAAATAACAGTGAACCTTAAGACTAATAATCTATTCATTTGCTGATCATTGTTTGAACAAACAATAGTTTAGTGTTACTGCATATGTGAACCTTATTTACCATATTGGCCTGAATATAAGCCACACTTTTAAAAAATTCGGGCCGTGAAAAGTTAAAGTGTGGCAAAGCGGTGTGGCTCCCCCCCCCCGCGCCGCCCAGGAAACAGGCCGGGAGTGCAGGGCAGCAGCGTGCCACCCGCCTGCCGCTCCCAAGCCTCTCCAGCCACCAGAAATAAGGAGAAAGGGGAGGAGGCCGCTGGCAAAGTGGTGTGGCTCCCCACCTCAGGAAGCAGCCCAGGTGTGTGGGGCAATGGCACACAGCCTGCCCTCTGCTCCCAAGCCTCCCCCGGCGCTGGCTTGGGGAGGTAGTGCCGGGAATGTCGTAGTGCTGGGAGGCGGGCCGCATCCACAAATAAGCCTTGATTTTTAAAGGTGTGGCTTATTTGCGGTGTGGCTTATATTTGGGCCAATACGGTACTTACCTCAGAAGATTTATAAACCACTTGATCAAAGAAATCTCCAAGCAGTTTATAAATAAAATTGTAAATAAAACACTGCTAAAATCCACAAACCAATTAAAAACAAATATACCTAAAACCACAACCATTACAAAGAAATGTAGGCAACTAAATTAGATGTCAGGATAGCCTTGCTGAAAGCAAGGCATTTTTCACAGGTGTCTAAAACAATATAGAAGGCATGAAAATTAGAACTTATTCCATAATAAGTTCCTTCGTAGCCAAGTAAGATTGTCTTCCATAAACACAGTTTTAACAGTGATGCATAACAGTAATTGCTGAACAATAACTCTTCCCATAGCTGGTTCAAATGATATGCTAATCCATTCATTTTGCTTTGCAGCCTTCAGATAAGGAGGCATTTAGCCACTCTGTCACAAGTCTGGCTACAGATCCACTTGCCAGCAGTGAACAAAATGGAGGACTCAGTAATGGTGATGGTAAGAACTGATTTATCATTTATTTGATTTCACAGCACTCACAACAGTAAACGGGCACCATGCTTAGTGCGAGATAATGTGGAGGTAACATAAAAGTTCTATCTGTGTTGTTCAGTCTGTTATTTAGGTTATCACTTGGTGCTTCTATTATCAAGCAAGGAACATGAATATGTGAATTAGCCAAGAGAGATTAACAGATAGTTGAAATAAATAAATGAATCAACTATGCTTAAAAAGATAGGGATTTTGTTGGTAACTGTGTTGTGATTGGGTATGGGAAAACAATATTCAGGGAGACATCTATTTGTTTGCATAACCTGTATACATTTCATTGTCAATTGTAGTAATTTATCATATGCTTTTTAAATTAGTGCCTCTAGGTCATATGTTTTAAGATAAGAAATGTCAGCTTACATAAGTGCTCTTACATTTCAGTCTCTGAAACATACTACTAAATTATAATTGCAGTGCTATCCTGAGGTAAAATTAACACATTTATATTCTTGGTAAACTAGATAGCTATAAAAATCCTTAATGATTCAGTTCAATCATTGTGAAGGTAATTGAAAAGTGAGTGAGTCTTCCTGCTTGGCTAAACATTTGAAATGAGTCTAACTTAAAAAAATATATATGCTAAAATATGCTGAAAGTTTTTATAAACTAGAAACTCAAAATAAATACATTCATATTCTGTGTGTCTTCCACAGCCTGGTATATTGGACCAACCTCCCTCTAACTGTTAAATTTTAAAGATACATGATAGCTTGAAAGAAAGGAGGAACAGGTGTCAGACAGCGAAATCAGTGGCATGCACAAGGCCTGCCAAGAGTTTGCTTTTTGAGAAAGAGAACTGCACACTGGTAACTCTTTTTAGTTACTTGGTGTCTTCTCAGGTTCCACAACCATTGCTGGAAACTCAACACTTCCATGCCATTGAAGATCTCTTGTAGGAGATTCTCCCTCTGCACCAGTAATTAATTACATGAATGAGCTCCACAAATTGAAAGGGACAGTGGAGCTGAGCAATTGGCCCCACCACTGAGCTCACACAGCACTAGACCCCTTATGTCTACAAGCTGAAATGGATGTCTACATAGGCTTCCATGGGAGCTGTACAATCAAGAGTTTCAGATTTTGTGGAAGCCTACATTTGTGGGTATTCCCAGCTTAGATAACTATTCTCAGTGCATATTCTCAGGATATTGGGTTAGGGAGCCAGGGAGCCTCATTGCTACTTTCAACATGTGACTCAACAAGTGATGTGATTGTGTGATTATTTATTCACATTGATTTGTGTTCATTTCAAGGGTTGGTTCCTTCCCGCCAATGCAGTTCACAAAATAATACAAGGCAACTAAAAATAATAATACATTAACAACAAAGTTCAGGCCAAACAGCAAATAAAAACAGAAGTAACAGCAGAAATTGAAACATTAACTATATGCCTAAGAGAATAAAATCACCTTGAGAAAACAAAGTAACCACTGATTTGAGGTTACATTTGCACTATACATTTACAGTAGTATCATACCACTTTAAACAATCATGGCTTCCCTCAAATAATCCCGGGAACTGTAGTTTGTTAAGCGTGCTGAGAGTTGTTAGGAGACCCCTATTCCCCTCACAGAGCTACAATTCCCAAATGTACAAGCGGTACACTTGTTAATTGCAGTAGCATGGCCAACTAGGTGATGGTAGTTGCATAGAAGTCACAATAACTTCGAATTCTATAATATCTGAACACAAAAGGTTCCCTTATTTAGGTAATAAACCATTGTCTTCTGACAATTTTATGCACATTTCTTGCCAAGTGATGCTGTATCTAAATTGCAAAGTCTAAAGACGATTAAGATGTCTAGGAAGGGGTGTTTCTTCAGCCTTGCCTCCTCTCTTTCCTGAGGGTTCTTTTTGACGAGAAAATCACCACCTTTACTTAATCAAGACATTATCTAATACATGCTTCAAAGAGATCAAACTTTCTGTGCATAATCCCTATTAAAGGGGCTTACTTTGTTGTAGGTAGGAGTAAGAGAGGATCCTATATAGTTGTTGCTTTCATCTTTGCTTGACTTAAATACTAGACTGAAGGATATCACAGGTTAAGCACCAGTGGTGGCGGGCCCATTAGGGCAAATGGGGCACCAGTCCACCAAATTTAGCCTGCTCTCAGCCAGTCCCCATCAGCCTCCCTTCTAATATATAGCCAGATCTTAGCTTTGTACTTCTGGAACTCAGCAGGGAGGAAGATGGAGTGCAGCTGGTGCAGAATTTGGCAGCCAGGTTGCACAAGACAGTTTGAGTATATTATACCAATCCTGGCCTGACTTGCACTGGCTGCCAATTAGTTTCCGGGCCCAATTCAAAGTGCTGGTTTTGTCCTATAAAGCCTTCAATGGTTCAGGACCGCAGTATGTCAAGGACCGCCTCTCCTCATATGAACCAACCCAGACCCTGCATTCATCATCTGAGGCCCTTCTTCGTGTGCCTACTGTACGAGAGGTTTAGAGGGTGGTAACATCATAACAGGCCTTTTCTGCAGTGGCTCCCTGTTTGTGGAATGCTCTCCCCAGGGAGGTTCTTCTGGTGCCTTCATTATACACCTTGTGGAGCCAGGCGAAAATGTTCCTCTTCAACCAGGCCTTGGGCTGATTAATATTCTACAGCCTTTTAAATGTGTTTGTGGGAGGTATTGTTTTGTTGTTTCTGTTGTAACTATTTATTTGTGCTTTTATCTTGTATTTTTATCTTGTGAACTGCCCTGAGATCTTTACATGAAAGGCAGTATATAAATCTAAGAAACAACAACAAGTAGAATCAGTTGATTCCAGATCCTGTTAGTCTCCTTCCCTTCCACCCTAGCAGCCCCAGTGAGCACCAGACACTGCTGGTTAGCAGACATAATCCAGTGTATCTGAGGACCTTGGAGGATAAATCTTTTCCTGGAAAAGGATATTCTTTTTTCAGGTGTGGCCCTTCTGGTTTCCACAACGGATGTTATATTCTGCACTTACATTAAAGGTTCATGTTGCTCATATTGTGTATATTCCCCCCTTCTTAGTTCTCTCAGAAGATAGCACAACCGCTTGCATCCAGCCTTATGAAGAAGTGCAAACCTCTGCTACTGACCTCCTGGATCAACAGGACAGTCAGGGAAGATCCTTAAAATGTCATCAAAGCAGGGAGCTACCCAGAATTCCTCCTAACAATGCCATGGAAACTATTCTGTCTACAAGAAATACAGAAAATGATCAGGGTCTAGGTATGGAAGGCCCCTACGAAGTGCTGAAAGACAGCTCCTCCCAAGAAAATATAGTTGAGGACTGTTTGTATGAGACTGTGAAGGAGATAAAGGAGCTGGCAGCAACAGCTAGCACAGAGAAGAGCTGCGACAGCAAGCCCAAAGCCGCTGTGATGGTTAACGGGAACCTCGATCATGTTGCCGAGCGTAAAGTCGAATCAGCCGAGTATGCCTCCGTGGACAGGAATAAAAAAAGCCGCCAGAGTGTTAATTCGGAGAGTCCTCTTAGCAACACCCCAGACCTGGAAGATGAAGCTCCACCTCCAGTGCCTGCGAAACTCCTTGATGAGAATGAGAATGAGCAGGAGAAAGGAGCCAAGGAGGAGGAAGAGGTGGCAGAAGGGCCTAGTGAACCTGACAAGGTATACCTTACGTTGCTTAATCATTTGCAGAAGAGCATGCCACTGTATTGAGACCTGCTCATGATGTCTACGTGTTTGTCATAGGACATGCTGTCCTATATTAATAAATAATGGAAATAAGGGTGAAATACGTTCATTAGTCATAGAAGTCATAGGAGTTTTCAGGTGTTTCCTGCTGACCTTCTAATCAGAATTCCCAGCAAACAGGACCATTCAATAAACTTCTGGCATTTACTCTAACTTTTGATTCAATATTGTGTTTGTGCGCATGCATGGATGTTCATGCATGTACACAAGAGTGAAATAGTGCTGTAATGTAGGTGACTGTATGCATTTTGCGGTTATTTTGCTAGTATGAAAACAACCATTCCTAAATGTGTTTGCAGAAATGTAAATGGTTATTTTTCACCAATGTCTGCTACATCCGATGCATTATTCTACAAAAAAAAGTAGAATAAAAGCAACAACAATCCTGGCCTCCAAATCCCTGATCCAAGAAAGCCCTGGCTTCATTCTGATTTTGGAAAAACCAACGGTTTTTCTCCACTTCCACCCAGAAAAGCCCAGCTGCATTTTATGAGATCATTTCAAATTACCGGTAAATAGATTTTTTTCCCATCTTCCAAATCTTCTCTCAGGCCTATCAGCCTGTGTTCCTTTCAGATGTTGTTCAAAAAACCACTTCCTTGAAACTGACTTCAAAGGGGCTTCCTGTAACCTCAGAATGGCAGTTTGCACAGCACTTTTGAAGCTGCACACTCTGGGTGCCTGTCAGCTGATTGGCAGTGAAGGTGTGCATTCAAATGAGGTCAGTTTCTTTGAACTTTGACAGCTATCAACCATCTGCTGTCAGGTGATTCTCAGATGAGTGCTCACGCCATAGCTGCCAACTTTTGCCTTTTTTTGCAAGGAATCCTATTGGGAATAAGGGAATTTCCCTTTAAAAAAGGGGAACGTTGACAGCTATGGCTCACACCCACCAGTCAAAGTTTGCCCACACGGTTGGGGGAATTAATTTGGGCTCTGACCTACCAGCTCTTCCACATCCCTGGAATATATATCCCACGAGGCTAAGAAGTGGTAGGTAATCACTCTCTTTATGTAAAAATGCCTTTGGTTGTTGTTGTTGCTTTTCCAAATTTGCCTGTTTTCAGTATTGTATGTTGCCTGACATACAGTACTGAAATTTAAATTATGTTGACCCATCCTCAAAGTTTTAACTGAACATTTATAATAGCTTTTAAGTGACAACATATTTTTAAGGCCTATTTTGAACGGCTGGTTTTATTTTTATGCTGCACAAGGTAGAAATCCTAAAGAAAACTGTGGTAAATTATAGTGATAAATTAGTTGTTGCAGTAAAGAACTAATTATTTCTTCAGAGTTTTTTATGTGTTGCCTTGTAGGCCTCAGTAACTGAACCGAACCTACCGATCTTTCTAAAACTAAAAAATATATATTAATTATCCAGTTATGGAATGTAGGTGTATTGGTATGATGCATTGAAAAATCCAAAGGAAAATATTCTGATTGGCCAATCAGCTTCATTTTAATTGTGTACATACATGGACTTCTGCTGACATAGTCATATTTCGGTAAAAGTTTTTTAAAAATCTAGTAGAACTGGACTGATAATGTTGCTGATCATTCACCCCTCCTTATGCCGCTCAAGCTCATAACAAACGTTTTCCTGCATCTAAAAGCTCTACTTACCTTAAGGCTGTTTATCTCTGAAACTGCAGTGTGGGTTTTAGCTAATGTTGAAATGCATGAGTATGAAAATGACCATTTATGATGTACTAATTCCTAGAGGCAGGGTGCCTATCACTGCTATCGGTTAATAAAGCTTATTTTCCTGTCTCTTTCAGAGGCTTAGTTCACTGTCCTACAAATCTCGAGAAGAAGACCCATCTCTTACAGAAGACGAGGTGAGTTTCTTTTTGCATGAAATCTAATAATTCTGCATAAGTGCTGCATCATTAAGAAGGTCTGAGAATGGGGGGGCAAATCTGTGCAGTAAAAGATGCCCCCCCCCAATGCAAAGGATTATTTTTGTTGGGCGCATATGGAAATTTGAAAGCTGTAGCATTTTCTGTGTTTTATAGTGAAGCAAGGCATTCTCTGTAAGAGGGGCTCACCTCTGGCAATTTAAGAAGCGTCAGCCTGGTACAGAATCATAGAATTGTAAAGTTGGAAAGGACCCCAAGGGACATCTAATCCAGCCCCCCCCTGCAATGCAGGAATCACAACTACAGCATCCCTGACAGATGGCCACCCAGCCTCTGTTTACAAACCTCCAATGAAAGAGTCTACCACTTTACCAGGAAACTGTGGTTTAATCTCTTGACTTCAAACCATGATATCAAAACTTGGAGGAAGCCCACAAACATGGTGCTCACCCTTAATCCAACAAACCATGATTTATTGGGCCATAAATGTTTATGACTGAATCAGCCTATATGCCACAGCATATTTCTCAGTGAATAATGAAGCCACAGTATGAACAATCGATTTGCTATTTTCATGTATTTAATTCTTCCCCTTTCCTTCCCTCCTCTAGATTTCAGCAATGTACTCTTCTGTAAATAAACCAGGCCAGGCCACCAGAGCGCTGGAGTCTACATACACCTGCATTCCTGAAATTGTACCTCAGAAGTCGCCATCTATTTGCAGTGGTCTTTATGCCAGTGTGAAGGACTTGGAAAATACCCCAAACCTTACCGCCATGCCTCAGTCAACAGACAGACTAAATGGGGAATTAGAGCCAGACTATGAAGCGATTCAGACTATAAACCGTGAGGAAGACAGAAATGTTTTGGTACTGAACAACAGCCAATCAATCCTCCCACAAGAGAATGACTATGAGAGTATTGGGGATTTGCAACAAACCAAGGACATCACTAGGCTTTAACTGTGTAAGATGCAAGACTCTGGGAACCGGTGATTGGCTGTATTTCAGAAGACCCAAGGTGGATTCACAGTCAACATTTTATCACTTACAAGCTTGACTGACAGCTTAGCATACAAAATTATCTCCACTGAAAACAAAAAAGTATTTCATGTCAAGTGAAATGAAAGCTCTGCCTGAAATGTTTGATAAGCTATTGTCTGCTTTACACATGGAAATCACCTTCTAGATGTAACCTCACTATGGGGGAAAAGCAAGGGATATTGCTCCTTCTGAAGAACAGAGAAAGGCAAAGGGGAAGAAAAGTGTGTTGTTTTTAAAAAAAACACTAAAAACTAAAAACACAACCCTTAGAATGTTTTGCCAAGATATGTGATGCCATTTGACTGCTTTTGTAGGTACTGGTTACCACCATAAAGTATAGATATAATAAAAGCTGACGGTACTGGAAAGGCCTCCATAGAAAGAGCTAGCATTTGGTAAAAAGTGTTTAATGTTTGCCACTTGCTGTATGTGTGTGTGTCCATGCCTGTATTATATGCATACACACACACACACACACACACACACACACACGGTTTTAATTTTCTTTAAAAGGGCATTTTGTCATCTATTTTTTGGGGGGGGGAGGACAAGTTGTAAATTCTCTTAGGATATTTTCACACATGCACCATTTGTAGTGCTTGGCATGGATCATCTTGTTTCACCGTGTATACATGCCAGCTTCCAAACAGCTAGTTTGCAGCAACATGCTTAATGCAACCATGGAGACTTTTGTCATTGTAAGTCAACAAGGAAGCTGACCTTAATCTTATGCTTCAGCTTTTGTCTTGCTCTGCAGAGGTGGGAAAATGCTAGGAGAGGGCAGGGAGATGGTATTTTGGGAAATCTGCACATCACGTTTTGAGGAACTACAGTTAAATATTGTTGAAGGTGGTTTGCACTTTTGTTTGCTGTACAGCAGACAGCATGTGGCCCTTTAGTTGGTGATGGACTGGAAAATCCCATCATCCCTAATCATTTTCCATTGGTGGTCCAACAACATTGGGAAGTGGGGAGTGTCCCTGGACTATAGTATGGTACTGTCATTCACAAGTGATCTATTCCCACAATGATTGAATAAAACTTGTAGAATCCATTTCTTATCCCCTGTAAAAGTAAACTATGATTTATTTGCATTTAGAACCTCCATTTTCTTAATGGAGATACAACTATAATGCTTTAAAGTTTAGGATTTAATACACGTACACATCCTACCTTTCACTCACAATCACTTTGCTTTTGAAATGTACTGCATTTCATTGTTTCCCCAAATAGGTGGCAACATTTGCATCAAGTGTGCATCCCACATAGACAGGTACTAGATGCAATCTTAAGAAATATCATTTTTTAACGAATGAAAGGGGGTAAGTAAAACATTAGACATGGAGTTAATTAGTGAGCAGGTTCAGAGATGACTTCAGAGTATTCAGTATACTAAAGTTTAAAGCAAACTGTAAACACTAAGTTGTTTAATTAAGATGAATGTTAATGCACACAAGGAAAAATAATCCTTACAGATTCAAGATTACTCTCACTAATGAGAGTTTACACGTTTCCATTATTCTCAGAATTACTCTGGACAACATTCACACTCACTAAACCAATTTAAAGCGGAAGCCAGCTTCTTTATATTCAGGCAAGACTGGAAAGTTTTGAAGGTAGCAACCAGAGCACATGGCAAGAAGTATTTTTTTTTTTTGCACAGGCTGCTGAGAGTCATTTGTTTTTCACATGTGTTGCTGCTTATGTTTTTTTCCCCCAAGACCCATGTAGGAAAAATACAATGTGTGAAGTGTCCATGAGAAAACATGCTTTGTATAAACAAACAGAGGTCAACTTCCAAAATGTTGCATGTCTTGCTTGCTGGTCCTCTTTCTACCACCTCTCTCTATTACCTTACCACTACGCTTAACTTTTGTATACATACAGCATCCTCCCTAATGCTTTGTTCACTTGATTCATTCAGTTTGCAAAAGGAGTAGCTGCAAATGTATTGTTGCATTTATAATAGTATTTGTGGTGCTATGCTGTAAAACGTGAAGGAGAGTCACACATCTCCAAACATTCAGACGCGTGTGGTGGACTTGCTTTAGACAGCTGCAACTGGGTGAAATAGCCCTAAATAATTAGTGTTTCCAGGCACTTGGAAAGATTTTTTAAAAATGCATATCCATTATTTGGATTATTTTGGACATCTGGTTGAAATTTCCAGAAGATGCCTTGTAGCTGACTTGCAGCCTTAGCCTTAGCACCCATTCAAGTTTTTGTGTAAGCGCTAATGATAACATCAATTGCCATGTGATAGCTTAGCTCCATTAACCTGCTATCACAAGTTGTTGCCATATGAATTGGGTACCCACTCAAGTAGAGGCCATTTCAAATGCTTTATGCAGCAGCAGTAATTGTCCCCATGGAGTAAAGAGTTTTCATACTGCTATCATATTTCTGGTATCAGCTACAGTGGCATGCCATTAAGTGGACTTTCTCTGCTTTGGTGGTGATCTATGTGCTAAGCCAACACTACATGTCATCACTATTGTCTAGATTACCTCTTATGTGGAGGCTGTTTCATGTGGCAGTCATAATATTTATACCAGCCTTTAAACAAAACTTGAAGTACAAGCACACAAGCCCTTAGGATGGTATTTGGTGAAGTTTTACTCAGAGGAGGCCCACTGAAATTAAGGGACATGACTTATCCACACTTACTTTTTGCCCTACCCTTTCCAGGCACACTTTAAAGCTCTGCTTTTCATATAACAATAGACCTGTAGAGTTGGAAAGGACCCTGAGGATCATCTAGTCCAACCCCCTGCAATGCAGGAATATGCAGCTGTCCCATATGGGGATCAAACCTGCAACCTTGGTGTTATCAGCACTGTGCTCTAACCAACTGCACTATCCAGGCTTGTTAACCAATTGAGCTATCCAGACTGAGCACTCGTTCCAGAGCTTTCCCTGTGGAAACCTGCTCTTTTAAGCTGTAGTGCCACAAACAGCAATTCGGGTTTTCTGTGGATTGTTGTTTGCTCTGATTCAGCACTAGAGAGCAGGTTTTCATAGGGAAAGCCCTGGGGGGTGGGAGGAAACGGAGCACTCATGTGGAGCTTTAAAGCATGGACTGTGCCTGGAAATTGCTGAAGAAAGGTAAGTGTGGGTAAGCCCTAAATTAGGTCCCCTAATTTCTGTGGGTTTACCTTGAGTAAAATTTATTTGAATACCAATGCCTGGTATTAGCATCACTCAACCAATTACTGTGGCATTCCAGATAGATATGCCTGTTTATCTATTTAGAATTTAGGAATCTTTGTTTGTGAATGATTAGAACAATATTTTCCTGGAAGCCCTAGTAAGGTATGTGCAAAAAAGCTGACAGTGAAGAAGATCCCTGCTGTGGGAATTGTAATACCAGGTTCCAGGATTCAAACTTCTCTTTTGTTAAGGCCAGCTCTTCTCCGGTGGCAAGTAGGTGTGTTTCAGCCACTGTGTTGCTCAGGACATAAAACACTGTGCCTTTAGAAATCCACCTTCTATGAAGTCTTCTGGTTTCCTGGACAGTTTCTCTTCATCAAAAGTATACGCGGTGCTTTCTCTTTAATTTTTCTAAGGTGCTTAATTAAATATCCTGAAAAGCTACTTCCTTGTATATGTTGCTGGAAGCTAATGTTTCTAGAAGGAACACTTTGTTTCCTCTAGAAATTTCTACTTTGCTTAAGCTTGGATTCCCATATGCTGAAGACGGACTCAACAGGCTGTAATGATCGACTTGAACCAATTGAGGCAGATATTTTGTGTTGAAAACTGACTACTGTATCTCTCTCCACCTGATGTTGAGTTGTATATTGCCAATGTGTCATTCTGTGTTTGTATTAATTATGTGGGGTAATGTTTTCATATAAGAGAAAGATAGAACAAGCCACCTAACTAACCTTTGAATAGCCACACGCACGCACGCGCACACTTACACTAGCTATATCTGTGTGAAAGTTTTTGCAAGGACTTAGATATACTCAATTCCATTTGAAGCTCTGAATTGAGACCATGTTAGTTTTGCCAGCTGCATACCAAAAGCCAGCTTTAGCAGTATATGTAGTACTTGCTGCATTTTCCACAATGTATCAGGAATTTGATCCTCTACAGAACCATTTCTGAAAGACCACTTTTTACACACAATGTTAAAGTTGTATCTTCTAGCATGAATGGGCAAGACTTGACACCTGGGTCGGTCCAGTATACCTGAAGGAGCGTCTCCACCCCCATCATTCTGCCCGGACACTGAGGTCCAGCGCCGAGGGCCTCCTGGCGGTTCCCTCATTGCGAGAAGCAAAGCTACAGGGAACCAGGCAGAGGGCCTTCTCAGTAGTGGCGCCCACCCTGTGGAACGCCCTTCCAGCAGATGTCAAAGCGATAAACAACTACCTGACATTCAGAAGACATCTTAAGGCAGCCCTGTTCAGGGAAGTTTTTAACGTGTGATATTTTACTGTATTTTTGGTTTCTATGGAAGCCGCCCAGAGTGGCTGGGGAGGCCCAGCCAGATGGGCGGGGTATAAATAATAAATTTATTATTATTATTATTATTATTATTATGGGAGAGCCACTGCGAGTGCCAGGCTAGATGAATGAACAGTTTGACTCTCATACCCGCCAACATTTCTTTGATGAAAATAGAGACATCCTATTCCATAATAATAATTTTATTATGTATACCCCACCCATCTGACTGGGTTGTCCCAGCTGCTCTGGGAAACTTCCAACATAGATGAAAACATAATAAAACTATACAGGGTTGCCTTCAGATGTCTTCTAAAGGTTGTATAGTTACTTACTCCTTGACTTCAGGGTTGCATAACTCCATACTACCCAACATTTCTCCTTTGAAATTAGGGACATCCTACCATACCCTCTAATATTTATCTGATAAAAATAGGGGTGTCCTATGGAAAAGTGAGACATTCCAGGATCAAATCAGAAACTGGGACAGCTTCTGTAGACTTGGGACTGTCCCTGGAAAACAGGGACACTTGGAGGGTATAATTAACATATATAGTCTCATAAGAAGTACCACATTTATCTTAGCAAAAATACATAAGGGTTAACTTGTTGCTACATACAAAGTTAATGTTAAGTTAATCACTCAAGGACCTCATCATGTTAGCAGTCATCAAGAAGTCGTCTGTGTGCAAACACATTTCCTCCCCAGTATTCTATGAGTTTTTAATACTATCTTACAGAGAGATAGCATGGAAATAATTGTCTGTTCTTTGCTTTTGAAAGGTGCTATGCCACATAAGGTACAGTTTTTAAAAATTGTGTATGTATGTATTTTAAATTGTGTTATGCATCTACAGCTACAGGTGATGCTTTAGAGTTCGGTAACCAGTTTTATTAAGAATAATTTTCCAGCTATCTCCTGAACTGGTCAATGAACTCAGTCTTGTCTACAGTTCTTTGTGCATGTTGATACACCCAAGGAGCTGCTGAATGAACAGTCTACCCTTCGTTATGATGGATGGGATAGGAATGCATGTCCAAAGGAATGCATGCACTATCAGCTTCCTCCATTCAAATGAATGGTGGACAATGGTTTACAACCCAAGAAGTGGTTTTACAGCTGAGCTTTTGGGATTGCAAACAATTGCCCACTTGCATCACTGACTGTAATGGGGTCTAAGTGCTAAATCACAGCTGCTGTGAATAGAAATCACTAATCATTTTTACTGCTGTAGCAATTTCTTATACAATAGGTGAGGCTTTTTTCACAGCCTGTCTGGTTATGGTTTTATAATCTATAGAGTTTTATACACTGAGCAAGCAGGCAGTAAAGTAGTTTCATTTTCAGAAATTATACACCACAAATTGCAGCTTGGAATAATTCTAGGTCTTGTTCTACTTTTAAAATAATTCATCATCATGACTAAGGTATGGTTATATCAGTGGATAAATGCAATGAAGTTCCCTTAAATATTTCTTTTAATTGTATGTACAGTCTGATGTAATTTAGCGATTCTGTTTTCCTAATATTGTTCATTTAGTATTCCTAGCCAATTTAACATTTGGCTGCTGAAAGCACAGTAGGCAATTATGTTTATTGAC